TCCTTTTAATAATAAATACTGAGTTTTTGACTTGAATGCACGTCTCCGGCTCTCCTTGTACCTGTAAAATAATTTGTTTGTGGGTTCAGGTAGAGACCCTCACACTGGGGTTGGTCACAAAGAGTTATTCTTACTGTAGGTACATCGTAAACAACAGGAAAGTCGAACGTTTGTTGTTGTAGGTATATTATTGTCTTTTATTTACAGTATGTGAACCATCAATTAGGAGAAAGTTTCCACTTTTTAGTCACAGGATATGGGTAATGGGCTACCAGCACTTTTTTATTGTTGTAAATTTTACATTTGCAGTTTTTATGCGATTGATTTACCAATAAAAAACAGAAAATGCCACTGTGTTTACTGTAGATACACCATTAAATAATAGCAAATGTCCATTTTTTTATTTACTGTGGACACACTGTTAGCCAATGGAAAATTCCCAATTTTTGTTCTTTAAAAAAAATAATAATTTCACCTGGCCTTGTGACCTTGGTAATCATTAAATAGCACTGAAATAATTTGGTGAAATAAAACGGTTTTGAGGTATTTTTAATGCAACATTTTGAGATTATGAAACAAGGCTCTGTGTTTTTATTTTTTTTAATATGCATGTACTTTTTTTTTTAAACTGCTTATATGAGCATCATATGAAGGGTTATTCATTAGCTTGAATAAAACAAACAAAAAAGTCTAAACTTTTTTTTTGTATTATGTGAAACTATAACAGAAAGAAAAATGCCCTCCTTTGACATCAATGATTTTCAATTTGCCCAGATTTCTGATAAATTATGTTCATTAACGTCTAACATGGGGGACACAACAGTCAACCAGCATTAAATAAATGTATCATTCTATGTCCTTAAATGCTAGCTAGAAAATAAACTAAGTTTTTTCAACATCCAAGTATACCCTACATTTACTACTATTTTACAGATTTATTCCTCAGAGCTGCCGCACCTCTTTCACATAGAAAAGTCCTGCTAAATTGTTCTTCACAGTTTACTGTTGGGAAAACACGAGTTATTGCACTCTTGGTGAGGAAATGGATCATGTTGGAGTGTTGGCATCAACAAATAAGTTGTAAATTACAACTTCGCACTGTATTTCAGCTCCAGACCGCCGCCCTCCTCCTCATATCGCTGAAGTTCCTCCTTTTTCTTTTGCTGCCCGCTGTAAAAAATGTCCACCTCGAGAACTCATTTACACTCAGATCTCCAGTGAGCCTGCGCAGATGTATGAATGAATGAGCCACGAGAGATCTGACAGATGGTCATTCAAAGCAAATCTAAAAATAAGAGAATAAACTTTCATGCATTTTTAGACTGAATGCATGTTTGTCTGAATGACTGCAGCAGACTGCAGCTTTCTTACAGTGGAGGATGTCTGTCTCTGCCCCTCCCGCATCATTTGCCTCCCCACGCTGCCTCGCCGCTCCTCTTTCTCGCTCCGTCTGCGCGTCTCGTCCAGTTTTTCCAGGAGCTCCGGTTCTGTCAGACCCCCTCCACACTCACCTCAGCTCGGACATCTGCAGCACCGACCAAGCGCTCAATGGCTTTACGGGACTCTCTCCTCGTCGGGCTTCTGCTCCTCTTCCACACCTGGGGAGGTGAGAGAGATTCCACTCAGCTTTGGGGACAGTTGCTGTTTGTTTGAAATGATGATTTATGCAAAGTTTTATTTTATTTTATTTTATTTTTTCATGTGCAGATAGACGCGCAAAAGCTCATCAGACATGAGGTGGTGTTTGCTGTTAGAGTTATGAAACTGCAGTTCGTAAACAACTAGTTCATGTGGGACACAGAAGCTCTAAAGAGACTTGTGGGAACTAAATAAGTCAACTGTTGCCTGCAGATAAACTTTATCTTGTAGCATTACTTTCATATCGTTGTTGTGCAGCTCGTGGGTCAGCTGCACAGTCCTCTGTAGCAGTAAACCTGTGCACCCTTATGTTGTCACTGCATGACTTCAAATTCACACAGAGCAGAGATTCTGGCTGCCTCAGTGTGCAAAATGTATGTTGCCACTTTTACTCCTCCTTTCTTAATTGCAGTGCCTTTCCTTTGCACACTTGGTTTGCTGATTGCTCATTTGCGGTGCATATAAATGGAGGAATTTAAGGTCTGAACACTGATTAAAATATTTGTGGCACACAGGCTCAGTTTTGTTCACTTGTTGTGAATAAAACACGCCGGGATTGTCGGACACCTTTGCTGTAAAGGTTCTAATTGGAACTCCCACAGTGAGACACAATGATTTCTGTTGGTATGTGAAGCTATGGTCAGTTTGCTTCATGTATTTTTAGATAGAGCTGTGGTTGTAGTGCTCTGCCCCTGCTTTCTGTCAGCTCTCCTCTGTTCTCAGCTGTGATCAAGTGGCTCAGTGCTGCCCAGGCAGCGGTGAATAGCTCGACTTTGTTTCTCACACAGAAACATGCAGTCGAACACATTCCTAGAGTGAGATGCAGCTCTCACTGTGCAGGGTTACAGTGTGATATTTGCATGGCAAAAGGACAGAATAGTCAATTACTTCTATTAAATCAGTCGTGTGAGGCTGCTATAAAAAAAAAAGATGTGAGGTGCAGATGCATGTTTATTTTTAGAAGGCATATCAGTGTAGATTTAGTTATGTGGGTGAGAAGGTCACACTACCTCAGCTCTCCACAGCACAGCTTCATTTTAAAGCACTTTTCTCAAGTTGGTGTGTCTTTTTTTTGTTTGTTCAAACACTACAGGTCAGTGTGTTTTTTCCTTCTCAACGCTTCCTCTCTCCGAGTCTCACTTCCCTCCTCTGCTGCCCTCAGACTCCTCTCCACGCCTTTACCTTTCCTTATCCCTGTTTGTCACCGACCACATGAACCTTTCTACCTCATCACCGTATTGTGCTCATCTCCTGTTTAAGTTCAGACCATTGTCTGTGATCTCTTCAAACTCACTCTGCTCTTATCCATCCTTTTCCTGTACTTGACCTCTTTGGCTTTTTAACCTCCGAAAGTCGTGACCAATGCATACCGACCCTACCATTCATTCTTCATCACTTCAAAATAATGGTTTGACTGGAGGAAACTTTATAAATCTCCTTTAGAAGTTTGGCATTTGACCCTTTTTGGAGAGCTGATTCCACAAATGATTTCAGAATTGGAAGTTTATTGATACATTTCTGAACAATACAGCGCAAAGTTAATCAATCAACCATCAGTTATTCTGCCTATTGATTGATTAGTGAGTTAGTTTGCGTGACTTTTTATTTCGTCTTTATTTTTTGGGGGTTGGATCAACTCCATTCACTGGTGTGAATTTTACTCCTGTAAAATTCGTTGGACCAACACTTGGAAATAAATTGAATGAACCCAAATAACACAAGCACACAAGTAGATTCAATTAAGTTTATTGAAAACGTTATTTCTTTGATTATAGTTGCAGAATATCTATTTTCTGATTAATCAATTATTTGACTAGTTGATTCAACTCTAATCAGTTGGAGTGTGTTTGTTGTAAGACTTTTAAATCTTTAATGGTTATTGTCTCAATCTCTTTGTGATGTTGATTAACGCTCACTCCAACCTGCTGCATCTGTGAAGGCGCTCTGTTTGAATACATGCACACGGACGTGCACGTGGAGATCCAATGAGTGTGATTGTGCCTTTGCCAATATTTCATCCCCTCAATGACATCAGAGGGGAGTCGGACTTGCTGATTATCGGTGACCCTTGATAAGGACACAATTCGCTTCCTGTGACATCAGCTAATCAAGCCGGGCCAAAGAGCAGCCGTATGAGACCTCGCTCGTTTAAAGGTCATCGCTTTCTGCTGCGACCGAGGCGCTGTGACTCGGTTTCATGTGCTCAAAACAACTTCTGGTCTTCAGAAGAAGCGAGCTGGTCGCAGACAATAAATGCCCTTGTTGTGTCTCAACCGCAGCATAGAAAATTGAGGCCCAGTAATCTGGCAGAGGATCAGCAGAGCACAGCAGTCAGGAATGGAAGTCTCTAAATTCAGACATCTCTTCCGGCACATTTTTTTTACAGTTAGGACTGCGACTGTTTTATTTCTATGCATATTAGCAGCCAGCAGTTTGTGCAGGAGGTTTACGTTGTTGGAATATAGTGACGTTTGGAGGTATTGAATCTTCTTCGCCCTGCTTCACCACTCAGTCTGGCCATAAATATCATATATTCTTCAAGCCTCATATTAACCTGCTAATGAAAACATTTATGATGCCCTGAAACCAGGTCCTTGTCTGGAAAAAGTCTGTCATGGGCACATGGTATCTTATCTTTGTCCTGAGCTGTTCACGCTCTGTTTACGTGTTCCCATGCAACAGACTCCTCAGGACACTGCAGAGAAAAGGAGCCGTCCGCCACCGTTTTGATCTGAGCCGTGACAGTGCAGCGTCATTCTGGAGGTGTCTAAAATTGTTTTAGTGAATTTATGGTTGTTAAGATTGGGGAAACATAAGCCAGATCCCCAGTGAATCCTGGAAAAGAAACAGAACGAAGGCTAATTTTAGTATGAATATTAGTATCTTGCCATGAAAGCTACAGCACAGTGGAATTTTAAAGGAAGACACTGAATAATGGTCGAAACTGATTTACAAAAAGAAAATCCCATACATATATGTTGCTAATTTCTCTGAGTGTATGAGTATATATTTTGCAGTCTTTTTTTTTTTTAGTAGTTAATGGACCTGACTACAAAAACCAAAATCCCCAAAGTTGAAAGAGCAAGACAAATTGAAAGCTGAGTGATTTAACTCGAGGCCACCTCTTTCTCATTTTAAAGGAGAACTTGCTTCTTTCTCCAGTAGTTTTGTATACTCATGGGTCACTGACTGTCCTATGATGGCACCCACCTGTTACTCAAAGCAGCCACAGCTTTAGTTGTGCATAACTTTAAATTTAAACACAAACTAAACGGTTGAATTACAGACAAATTCAACCCCTGTACATTTGTCATGAACAGGGAAATTAGCTATAGAGACCAAAACAGTTTTTTACACCAGACTATAAACTTGTTTATTTCTGCTATAAAGTTGGGCATTGTAACATGGATCTATGGGAATTAACTCAGTTTTGGAACCAGCCTCAAGTGGCTGTCAGAGGAACTGCAGTTTTGGCACTTCAGTGTCTCATTGCTTCATTTTTAAGCCCCCAAGGTTGACATTTAGGTGTAACAAGTGACTGACATTGACCTTTACAGACTTGTGCAACTGGTGCACTGTGCTTCAGCAGGTTACACAAATATTTTAGGGGTTTTATACCTCACTGAGAAACATTGTTGTCTCCATCTTGCAGTCTTCTTCACCCACATCAAGTGACTGTCTTAGAACCTCCTGTAATCTAGTCTGTCCTTATCCAAAGAGCCATGCTTTCTCATTGCCTCTACTTTTGCTCCTCAGCAAAACTTTTATACACTGACTTTAAAAGAATTGTATTCAGAATTAATATGCAGAATAAGAATCAGAAATGCTTTGTTTTCAAGTGTTTAGATGTGCTGCAGGATCTCCCTGCTGAACCATGTAATGTGTTGACTCTTTACACGTGGGAGCATGAGTTGTAGGAGCAAAAGGTTTCCTTTTACTGTTTGATCTTCCTATTGATGCGTATAACATCCATTATCACCATTACCTGGGTCAATAGAGCAGACCAGCGATGGAGAGGGTGGGGGTCTGCTTCTGCTGGAGGAGGCTTCCAGGACTTTGTGTTGTTGTCACCGAGGCCATTTTGTGTGTGTTTGCTGAGTCGCAGCAAATGGTTGTTTGTATAATGTAGCCAGCAAAGAAACAATGTGCAATCAAGCCCTGTTGAGTGATATCTTAATATCAACACTTTTTGTTGCTACAGCGAACACTTTGACTCGTGTTTACTGTAGGGAAGGAAGGAAGTCAGTATCAGTCTTATCAGAACAGGGTAAAATGCAATCTTTTGTCAACATTTTCTCCCAAAGAAAAATACCTTTTGTCTTGAATATCTGCACAGAATGTGAGTTCACAACTGACGAATTGATTGCTTCAAGAAAAACCTCATTTGTACAGTTTCAAAGCTTTTTGCTACATCACAGATGGATTTTTATAAGAAACACACCATCAGTGATGCCCGACAGAAAGCCTCCACGCAATATCGGCCTCATCTGCAGATGTGCAGTGAGGCATTTCATCTGCAAGTAATACTGGTCAGCTTCATTGTACTCTGATGTATGGCTTTATATTTGGCTCCAGGGCAAATCCATTCATATCAGGCAGTCTACAGATCACCTCAGCCACTGAAGATCCAGCTCTCCTCTGACTGTAGCCGCTTGCTGCTGCTCTCGCAGCCTTTTGAAGCTCCCTGATCAGACGGACAGCTGCGTACACCTGGTGCCCTCGCTGCCTGACAACACACTCCCACCCCCAAAGACACACACAGGCACTACTTAATGACCTGTTGTCATCGTGTGTTATTTTTGTTAAAGCGGGGTTACTGTTTCACTGTGGGTGTCACAGACAGACGGTGGAGTCCGACTGTCTCATTTCACATCAGACAGTGCAGTTTGAAGTATTTACTTACTGATCGTGATCACCGACATTACGGTGGCTCAGGCCTCACCTTCTGTTGTGTTGTAAACATAGCAC